CAGATTGTGACACATCTCAGCCTCCATAATACTGTAAGTCAATTCCTCACAGTAAATCTGTTTTATATATATCTATATCTACATTTATCTATCTATCTCCTACTAATTCTGTTCCCCTGGAGAACATTGACTAATACAGATGTCAAGTTATATCTGGAGAATGTGGTGAATACAAATAGCCAGAGATAAAAGAAACAACAAAAATATAATCTTATCAACACATGGTTTATTTTTAGCAGATAATGGTACTAAGGAAACAATAATAATCACAGACATTGGCAATGGTCACAACAGGAGTATGGCTGAATTGGAAGTCTAACCCCTGTGAACTTTGAAGAAGCCAGACAATGAAGGTTCGAGCTGGAATGTTGATGCCTACTTACCCCATGGCCTGAACAGACTTTACCCTTGGAATCAAGTGGGCAGCTGCTCATATTTAGGGCTTGAATCTGCAGGCACTTTCGATCTAAACACATCATAGACGGGCCACATGGCGTTCCATCTTCTACATAGCCCATATCTGTATCATCATCTAATATTATGTGAGCACCACTAAAAGGAGAAAGATATCCATACAACCATTAGCACCACACTTAGAAATATAACATCAGCATAATGGGGCTTAATCTTCATGAAACTGAAGAGCCTGTCAGTGGACATGGGTTTTTTCTAGCATTTTCCTGCCCTCTCTTCCTTTCCTCCCTCCCCATCTCCCCTGAATGAAAGAGCATAAAAAACTAACTACCTTTCATTATCATTATTACACGGCACATCATCAGGGAATGTCATTTGTACAAAGTGTATTCTACATCTTTACTTGTTTTCAAGACCCAACATTAAGACTAGAGGAGATGTGTTTGCATAAGAACAAAAGAAGCAAATACATCATTAGCTCTCCAAGGCTTTCAGAGGCGGCATGGTAGAAAAAAGCACATGCTGAGCAAAAAGAGCAAATGAAAATATTTTGAACATTATTATTACTACTTCACAGAATTTGATTATTCATAATTGAAATAAATAAATACACCAGTTCTCTATTGATATTTACTTCTAAAATTTCAAAGGTTGGAACAAGTTGAATATGAACAATAATGAATGCTATAATCACTAATAGAGTATCTTGCTGAATATTTTACAATTATGCTAGTTTATGATATAACAATATAATTTTAACAAGGCTGTTGTATCTAAAGAGGTGTGAAAACATACACATTCAAAGAAAGCTTGTGAACATCAAAGTAACTGGCTCTGAAGACTACAAATTTATTCCAGAAAGGCTCTTATTGTCTAAGACTCGGCTAGCCTTGCCTTCAAAGCAATTTAAAAGAAAAAAACAGCAATCATTTGACTAAGACATCTCTATCCAATTTAGTGCCCAATTTACTAAAATTTGTTCAAAATTGTATTTAAATAATTCCAAATCTTATATTCTCTCACATAAGATGAAGGTTTGGTAGTCTGAGAATACTAAAAAATAAAAGTTTAGAGACACTGAAGGCGATTACGTAGAGGGAATACCAAAAGTGTTTCAGGCAACAACAGCTCCATCACCTAAGAGAACAGTATCTTAGAATTATGACTACTTTGAAGGGAACAATACTTATTTGGAATATCAGTATAAACCTCATACCTATGTGCTTTGTATTCACAGGCAACAGAATATCAAATGTTTGCTTAAAGCTATAAATAATATTTTAATAAATATTTTCTGTATGTGATTGGGTATTTGTTAATCCATCTTCTAAGCCAGACACATGCTACATAAAGTATAGGTTAAACTCGTTTTTTTTTTCTGTCATAAAAATAAAACACATACACACACACAGTGTTCAAACAGTGGCATATTTCAATGCTCCAAACTTTAATCACAGGTTAAAAGGGATACCATAATTCTATTCTTAAGATTATAATTACAAAGAATGACTCACTGCTAATAACTAGTACAATTTTGAGCAAATATAATTTGCAAACCAATATACGACTTTTTTTAAGTGACTTTCAACATGAAAAGTGATGATAAAATCGAAGTCAACTTTCCTCTTGTAAGTACTAGAAAAATCCTTGAGTTTACATTTTTTTCAAAATTTTATTTCTTGAAATTTGTTGGGTTGGACTAACGGGTACAAAACTATGCTATCTACCCTAAGTGAGTCATTGTGCAGTATATGCATGAACTGAAACAACATGCTGTACACCACAAAATAAATATAAATAAAACTGACAGAAAAACAAATTTGTAATTCTCATGCTCCATATGGTTTTCCAGCATTTAATATGTTACCTGCAGTCAATCACCCGGCCTTGATGGTAGAAGGAAGTTGGAATAATCTCACCCTGAAGATGACCAATACGCGGAGCTCGAGTAAGATTGGTACAGAGTAAAAATCCACAGAACACATCACTGAACAATTTTGTTGTTTAAAAAAAAAAGACAGAAGAAGACAGGTGAAATCAAGCTCAAAAAAATCAAAACTATGCAGTCCACTTGTATTCACAATTCTAAAATATTCTCTTTGCTTCTAAACAAAAACATTTGTTTAGGTATTATTGGTTGGCTATGACCCCCTCCTTCCTTTCTAAAAGGATCACAGTTTTGTTTGGCGAGCAAAGTGTTCTGCCCTGAAATACGGGTCATGACTGTCCAAGGCAGTCATGGAATTCCCATTCCCTACACCCACTTTCCTATGCATCCATCTTTCCCACCTTCCTAGAGCTAAAAGTGGCCCCCAGCTGTAGAAATGTGAGAAAAAGTCAGTTAGGGAGTTGCCAAGGAGGATTTTGCTTTCTGGATAAAAGGTTAGAGTCTGACAAGGAGATCTTTGTTCCTACTCCTGCTTCCTACCTTTGAATGTGTAGCTTTTGCATCCACCTCACAACCATGAATTCACAAACTTAAGGATGAAAAGTAAACACGCTAAGGATTACAGAGCAGAGGGACAGAAATCATCAGGGTCCTTAGTGACACTGTTAAATGACTCACCCACCATGAGAGTACCTACCAGCCAATCTGTTAAGAAAACAATGACTCCTAAAAAAGTGGGAAAATAATTGAAGTAGCACATCACAAAAAAAAAATCCATATCCAATAAATGAAGGAAAATGTGCCAAATTCCATTTGTAATCTGGGAAATGCAAGTTAAAACCACAATAATATAGTAGTTCACACCCACAACAACAGATAAAAGTAAAACGTCTGTCTGACAACAGCAAGTGTTGGTGAGAATGTGGTACAACAAAATTCTCATATGCAAATTCCTGATGGTAGGGTTTACTAGTGCAACCATTACAGAACAGTTTGACATCATCTGGTGACATTGAAAAGTCACATCCCATGTGACTTAGCAATTTTTCTTCTAGGTATAGGCCTTAGAGAAACATGTACAAATGTGCACTAGGTTGCACATACAAGAGTATTCATAGCAGTATAGTTCCTAATAGCCAAAACATGGCAACAACCCAAATGTCCATCAACATAGAAAGAGAATTAAATTGTAGTATGTTCATATGCACATGTACAGAAATGAGACAAATGAAAAATAGACAGCTGTACTCAAAACACCACAGAAGACTTAAAATGCTGAACTTAAGTTAATGCTTAACTTATTGCAAAATATGAAATAATATATGAAGTATTGGGGATGGAAACTTAGGTAATAAGACTCTTAAAAGCAAGAAAGCAACTGTCATAAAAGTCAGGATGATAGCAACTCCAGGAGAGAGATGGGGGACTGTCACAGGAAATGACACATTTTTGGGGGGATGATGCAATGTTCTATTTCTTGACCCAGGTTGGCATTTTATGCAAGTTCACTTCGTAATTATTTGGTAAAATGTATTATTTGTGTGTCATTCACTTTTGTTTATATATTATACTTCACAATTTCAAAGGTTTCAAAAAACATACATTTTCCTTAACTCATTGTAGGTTGGGTATTCTATTAGCAGCTATTCAAAAGCTCTCTTTTACAATAGTCGAATCCATTGCCTCCCAAACTTTGTGAAGTCACAGAAACAAAGAAATGATCACCTTTGTCTAGGACAGGAAGTTAATGAATAAAGCTAATCAAATTCAGAGATGCCTGACACCAGAGATTTTGACTACTTCATGCCTCCCTTCCTCCCACTCCTTAGTACCTAAGGATCAGCATCTCAGAACATCTGTACCTCGCTCATGAGATATCAAATGGTAAGCTCTGTACTCTACTCTTCTGGTTTAATTTTAAAGAAATTACAGTCAAAGATCTGTTGCCTACTTAGACCTCATACATCAAAAACTATGTGGAATTGCAAAGTTTCATAAAGTACAGCATAGAGATTATTAACTAGAGAAATAAAACTTCCCTTAAACCCTTGCTCTCCTTCAAAATTGGAAGAGTCCTCATTGCTATGGGAGGAAAATGGAGGAGCTTTGGCCTGTAACTTAGTTGTTCCATAGATCCAAGTCATGGAATTAACCTTAATAAACTATTAAATCAGAATTCTAATTTTCCTCAAAGAGAAATATCACCAACGTGCTTTGAAAATGTCTCATTTCCTGAGTAAGAATGCCTCCAATATGCATTAACTAGATGCTTTTTATAAGGGGGAAAAAAATTTCTGGTATAGATATTAGATGTCTAATTAAATCAAATGGTGGTGTTGCACTTGTGAAATGATGAAAAATGTATTTTATTTCACTGCAAATGCTCCCCCAAATATATACGGTCTATATATTCTGCCTCTTAAACTCTGAGTATACTAGTACATCCACAGGCCACATACCAGTAATCAAGTAAAACACAGCATGTGAGAAATTTTCAGAATTGGTGTGAGAATTTTATGGAAATGGTGTGAGTCTGTTGTATAGTAACATTACAGTCCAAGGCATTTGCTTCTAGATATACTAATATATTTTTAAAACACATACTTTAAATATTTGAATAGTTGAACACAAAAAAATCAGTAACACTTATTTTGTGTTCATTTTGCATTTGCATCAGGACTTCCAAGTCCAGTCATTATGGCTCAAAGTTGAACACTCACTGTTTGCTGCACTGGATCCATCGGTCTCCATTCTTCCCACAGTTGCCCTTCTCAGTGCCTTCTGTATTCAGCTTTTCATAACAGAACTTGTCAGACCCCGCAGCCTCTTTTGGAGGTGGGCAAGAGAAGAAAATTAATTTCAGTTCTCTTTGTTATCCATAACCAATAATTTGCCAGTAATGTTTAACAACTGGTTCTCCAGGAAAAAAAAAAATCCTGGTTTGTAGCATTTGCCAATTCCCATGGTGTAAATACTCCATGGTTGATTTCAAGCTATCAATGTGATGTCCATTGGCTTGTAAAATTCCTGAAAATTTAACAATTGGCTCTTGCAAGCTGATACAAAAAAGATCCAGCAAGCATGACACTTTTTAACCTTAGAAACAAATGTCTTCCCAATTCTTTTTGGAGGGTTTGAGGGTAGGGGGTGGGAACGATCATAAGAAAGAATTAGTGAAGTGATACACAGAAAACTAATAAACATTCTTAGTCCTGTTTTATATTAATATTAGGAAAATAATTATAAAGTCTTAGCCCACTGAGATTTTATGTTGGCATCTGGGTTTTGATATTTAAAAAAAATTTAAGACAAGTATATCTCTATTATCTTTTTTCTGTCAAAACTGAAGGACTGAATATAAATCTGTCAAATAAATCATATTTGCCAAACACTGAAATCACTCATGCCAGGGGCTCTGTTCTCCTTCTGTGTGCTTTCTCTTCCTTTGGTATGACCCAGCCTCAGCCAGCAAGGCAGACCCCACCCCTTTCTTGCTCTTTCTGTCCAGCCCTCGAACTGAGCTTCACTGCAGAGGCACTGCAGATGTCAGGAAGAGAATATACATATTAACATTTGGGAAATTTACCTAGAATCATAACCATGTACCTGTCTGCACCTCAGGAAGCACATGCAATTCTTCATTTTGAACTGAGATAGCAAATGACAGAATTTAAAAAATAAATCTAGTACTCTCCTAGGATAAAAAATAAAATAAAAAGCTAACTTGGTGGGTGTGGGGTAGATATTAAATTCAAGGTACAAAGCAAATCACACAAGTGGCTGATTAATGAATAGGACCACTGCACTCAATCCAATCTTTGCAAGCAGCTGCAACATTCCTTCCCAGAGAGCCACGCCACTGAATGCCGCTGCTGGGTTCTGGTGACAAGCATCCAACCTGAGCAGTTGCATTCTATAGTTTTTGTGACTAAGCTTCACAGTTCTCTTTACTCTCAGCCTTTTCTAGATTCTTTTTTTTAACTTAACCCCAAGCCATGCATCTCTTTCAGCAAGACTGGCAGAGAAGAACAATATTAAGAGAAACTGTATGTGTCACCATCAAGAAGGAAGAGGCGACCTACTTGTTCCCCAGATGTATTGACACTGGTTGTCCCTGGTCTTGCACTCGCCGTTGTAGCAGCGGCCCTGAGAACAAGAGTACACGTGTGAGGCACATGGTTCATTTTCCTCTAATTTTTTACTACGAGATCTCCTTCTAGTCGACATAAAGATTTTTTCATTCCATCCCCTAATATTTTCATAGTGACCAATCAGAATCACAAATATCTTAAGAGAAGCGTAAGAAAAACAGTTAAGATTTCAAACTCAAACAGATCTCACAGTACAGATCTTTAAAGCCAAACTAATCATCTAAAATTTAAAATCTTATAGAGAACAAAAATTGGTATATTTCTTTGGGTGATACCAAAATGACTGCTAGATTCTCTTGTGTGTGAATGGTTACATTATAACATAGCTAGAAGAAAAAAAACCACAACAGACTGTCATATTTTCTCATAATAGGCTGAAATTATTGAAAGATGGTCTGAACTCAATAAATTAGTTTCCTAATTCTAAAAAAAAAGAAAATTAAAATTCCCTCAATCTGGACAATTTGTCACCAGAGTTATATATATTTAATATTTCGTATACCATAAAGCAACTCTGAATTAGAACCCCACCATCAAAATTTACTTGAGTAGATTTCCCTTCACAGTTCCATTTATCAAAAAGAAAAAAACCTTCCAATGAATCCTTTTAAAACTACATGTAAACCTTATAACCCAGCATACCTGATTTTGGTTGCATGCATATCCATCTTGCTTATGAAGATTTGGTGGGCACTGAAAAATATTATCTTGTGGTTAATGTTTGGCATGCTAAGTACCTTCGGATAATGTGCACAATATATAAATATGCAAAAAAATGCAAGCATGGTGAATATATAATTAGGAATGTTTAGAAAAACACGTGTATCTCCTTAAGTAGGCTATCCAAATTAATTCTCCTATTACTGGTAAAAATAAACAAATAAATAAATAAATTAGGTCCATGCAGTGGATGCTTCTGCTGTTTCTCAGTTTACTGTGAGGTGGAGATAACAAATCACATTCAGTTGCCTATGGAGTTAAAAGTAGAGGGGATTAAAATGGACAATGAAGGGAACAAATCCGCTTGTTATGTAAGAGAGGACACATTCAGGAACTGGTTTACTAGACTTTGCTCAGCTCCATGAAAATGTCAAATCTACATTTGACCATGCCGCTCACCTGTGAGCTACTTTACTCAAGTGGAAGAAATACTCTGCCTTTCAACTCAATGTAAGGCTGTATCTACATTACATTTCTGACGTCTCAAACTACAGATTTGTTACTAGAACAACCTGTGATGTGATGATTATTTCTCTTTTCAGGTCTACTTATCAAATCATTTTTTTAAAGTATACTTCATTTTCCTCAAAAGTTATCCTGTACATAAGTTAAAATTTTTACTCTCTGTGCATCTTACATATCACATTTAAAAAGGCCTAAAAAGGTCAAGTCAAAGGCTCTGCTACAGTGTTCAAAGCAAATATGAAAAGAAAAGAATACACAGGTGTGACAAGTGAACAAGAAACATGGTGACATGCACCAAGGTCCTCCCTCGGTCTTCACTTTCTTAGTAAATAATGTTCCCTCCTTCTAGTTGTTCAGACCAAAACCACAGTCATCCTCTATTCTTCTCTCTCTCTTACACTTTCCTTCCAGTCTGTCAGCAAATCCTGCTAGCTGTACCCTCAAAATATAATCACAATCTGACAGCTTTTCTCCACCTCCACTGCTAACATACTGTGCAAGACACCACCATCTCTCACCTGGGTTACTGCAGTAGCCTCTTAACTGAGTCCCTGCTTCCAGCCCAGCCTCCTATTGTCCACACTGCTATCAGGGTGATCCCTTTAAAAATGTAAATATTATCAATCCCTGTACTGACCAGCAAAAAAAGAAAAAATAAATATGAGATCATGTTAATCCCCTGCTCAAAACCCTCAAATGGCTTCCCAACCTACTTACTGGCCTTCAAAGTTCAGCATGACCTGCTCCTCCCCACCCCACGTGTCATCTCTCTGACCTCATGGCTGACGTGACTCTGCACAACTGTGGCAGGCACGGTGCCCCACGGCCTTTGCCTTTGCTCTCCTTCAGTCTTTCCCCAGATTTCCCATGGCTACTCCCTCACCTTCTTTAAGGCTTTGCTCAAATAGCACCATCTCAAAGAGGCCTTCTCTAACCACACTCTTCAGAACCACAACTCCCTCCCATGCTGGCATTCTCTGCTCCCCATTCCCTGGTTTTTTCCTTCTTCATACTTATCACCAAATGACAATTCATACATTTTACTTGTTTTTTTGTTTATTGTTGTTCCCATCACAATGTGAGCTCCATGAAGACAGGATCTCATGTGTTTTGTTCCCACTGCCTTCCTAACACCTAGAACAATACCAGACACGTGGTAGGTGTACAATTACTACGGGCTGACTGAGAAGATAAATGAATGACCCATACAGATACAATTAAGTTATTCTATTCTATACATATCAAGCTGTTTACCAAGTTCCCCACAAAAAGATGATAGAACTAATTTGGTATTCCTAAGAAGCAGTAACTTACTACAGACCACTTTGAGGTAAAACGCTTCAGTTCTACATCTTTCTAAAGAATAACTGACTCTCATACAAGCTTCATTCACCACAGCCTCTCATTCAACCTGACGGTGAGTATTCAAAGGACGTAATCATCAGCACTAAAACGTGGAGTCCTGTGCCAACGGCACAAAAACAGAGATCCCTATGGCCTCCTTCACCCATCCGAATCCTTTCAAAACACAATCATTATCTCATTAATCAACTAT